AGTAGCTTCTTGTTCCTAGTAGTAAGGCCAGGAGCCCCTAGTAGCATCCTTGCTCCTAGTAGTACCGCCAGGAGCCCCTAGTAGCTTCTTGTTCCTAGTAGTAAGGCCAGGAGCCCCTCCTAGTAGTACGGCCAGGAGCCCCTAGTAGCATCCTTGCTCCTAGTAGTACGACCAGGAGCCCCTAGTAGCTTCTTGTTCCTAGTAGTAAGGCCAGGAGCCCCTAGTAGCATCCTGGCTCCTAGTAGTACGGCCAGGAACCCTAGTAGCTTCTTGTTCCTAGTAGTAAGGCCAGGAGCCCCTAGTAGCATCCTTGCTCCTAGTAGTACGGCCAGGAGCCTTAGTAGCTTCTTGTTCCTAGTAGTAAGGCCAGGAGCCCCTAGTAGCATCCTTGCTCCTAGTAGGGCCAGAAGCCCCTAGTAGCTTCTTGTTCCTAGTAGTAAGGCCAGGAGCCCCTAGTAGCATCCTTTCTCCTAGTAGTACGGCCAGGAGGCCCTAGTAGCTTCTTGTTCCTAGTAGTAAGGCCAGGAGCCCCTAGTAGCATCCTTGCTCCTAGTAGCGATGAGTGCCTTTTTTTCTTACGCAGTAGGCCCACTTTGAGAAACCCCCATTTTCGATGCCTCTCGGACCCAACTCGTCTCCACTTGCCTCTCGCTGCAGGGCTCTTGGAGCAATCCTCGGTGCTCAACCGGTCTTCGTTCTCCCCGCCGTTTTCGACGGCCCAGGCCACCGGACTGTGTCGTCTCTAAGACTCCTGAGCCAAAACATATCCAAAGGAGGTGGCATGCATCTAGTGTCCCTGGTTGGGAGAAAACTGCGTGAAGCCATGACAGGTAGGATGGAGATGAAGTCTCCCCTGCTCCTTTCAGGTCTGAGTATTAGAGGGATACCGGATTCGAGGTGCGAAGTACTGCTCCTTCCACATGAATATGTATACCATATATATACACATATATATATATATATATTATGCAGTGACAAACATCAGCTTTTGCGAGCATACTTACTTGGGACCCCGCTTGACCCAGCAAAATGGGTCCCTGGTTTTCCGTTTTCTCTTTAACTCAAGGGACCCGAAGAACCGTTGGTGACCGTTGGTGACTCAAGCGATGGCCGCCCACCGACCAAGGTCCACCAAGGTCCACCAATGTTGGACCGCTAGTGGGAATCGACTAAGTCTAAGGCCAGTGGCCGCACCGCAGAACTTGCTCATCACGCATTATCTTCCTATTTCAATATATATATATACAGTTATAAATGCACAATTATACACACGTATGCTAGTTCTCCTTAAGGTGTGAAGCATCTCTCCAAGACTCCAAGGTGCTTGCTCTATCATTGCACCGAACTCAGTTCTGTGGACCAAACCACACACCCTGCGCTCTCCGACCGGCCCAGCCTGGCGCTGCGTCACAAGGCCTTGGCTGCACCAAAAGCATATTTTTCAGTGAAGAGTCAGTGGCGGAAAGCAGTGGAAAACTTTGAGATCTACATACAGTACTGAATATTGCCCACTATGCAAATCTATGGAAGACGATTGCCCTACTGAATATTGGGCATTATGGCGCATGATGGATGCCTTGCATTTGCTTGGTTTGACCTCAATTATGTTGGTGGTGCTCACTAGCGGGCAAAACAGAATTCTTGGGTCCAGGCCAGATCTTGATGTTGACGCCTCTAGATTGGGGCGAGGAAAACACATACATGACCAAGTTTTCTTGAACATCACATACTTTGATCTGTTTGTTCGTCATTTTGATCATCTATCGCAGGAGAATAAGACATATCAAACAAACTCACACCCATCTTGAACACACAATACTTGGTTTTACGAAACTTCGGCAGAACCATCCACGGCAGGACTCTGGCCTCCGATGGTAGGATCAACTACCTTTGACCAAGCGTAGAATGTGTAGAGATCACCCGACGTTTCGACTTGGTAGAGTTCCTCCAATGGTTCCCACGATGAAGGCACCTCTTTTGGGGTTTCGTCGGTCGACTCTCGGGCTGACTCTTCGCCCACCTCGTGCTCGATTCTCGGGCTTGGAGGCGATGACGAACCTGGGAGGGGCTGTTCAGAGATGGCCCTTGCTTGACCCCAAACTGAAGAGAATTCAGAATGCCCCAGGACCGGTGGTGAAGCAACACCATGGTTGGGGGTTATGACCCACCCCTGTGCGATGGACTACGAGCACATTCTTGGGCAACACAAGGAAGCTTTCAAGCGGCCAAGACATCATGAGTCATGAGTCCTTGGCTATTCATTATTCATTGATGTTTATCCTGAGTCTACGAGCAAATAACTATACAAAGCACCAACACTTACATTTAATGCAGGTTTCTGTGAGAAGTTACATAGATGGACTCGAGGATTCCTCGAAAAAAGATGAAAAAAGCAGGCACAACTTATAACCTGGATTCCCCTTGTCCATTCTACTGCCTCACTGATTGGACGCCGTCCATCTTTTCGCCTGAAGAACTTCTTCAATGCTTCTCATGTTTGGCGCCCCGGCGCCCGTGCGGTGTCCTCATCACGGAAGATGAGCGCAGTTATCACGAAGCCGTCCTGTGAGCCGCGAGCCATCGAACAGGTGAGGGATAGCGGATAGTGAGGGTGGGAGAGTTTGGATGGGATCCTTTTTTCCCCAGATATCTGCAAGCTTTAGGGGCTCTTTCTTCTCAATGGTGTGGCTCTGGATCGGCGTTTCGTTTTGCCCGTGCTGGTGCTGGATCGGCGTTTGCTTGGGGCGGGCTGGTGCGGGTGCTGGATTGGGGCTTTGTGGGGGCGTGCTGGTGCGGGATGCTGCAGGTGCTGGTGCTGGATCTGTCATCCCAAACTATTGGACATTGGGATATTTTATGATATTTTCCCTCAGGCACTATGAGTTTTTTCCCCATACACCCGCTATCTGGGGTCTATGCCGGTGTAATTTGATCTAGGATTAACTTTTATAGAATCTTTTAAAATGGACACTTTCATGGGATCCTCTTGAACCCTTTTTTAAACATCTAGATTCTTTCCCATTTCGGAGTCTTGCTGAAAGGAAGGGCTCACCCACAAACCATTTCTGTCTCGCCCACAAAACATGCGTCTTCGCCGCTCGCGACCGGATCGCTCGCATCCTCCATCTCTAGGGTGCTTTCCAGGGTGGGCATTTCAAACCTGGGAGTCACAATCGAAGGACCTCCAGGGATCAATGGGGTGTGTTATACTTAAACGTGGCAGCGCAAAACCCTTTTCATCCGCTCGAGCCCTGCAGCTTCGATCGAGGGACCGTCGGCGGGGCGGCTCGGTTCCACACAAACCCCCTACGGTCCCGACCGGTCCGCTCGAGTCTGCTGCACATAGCGCCTTTTGCGCTCCGCGGCCTCCTGCCGCAACCGCCTGGCTTCAGCTGTATCCACCAGGCTCCAAAGGCCCTCTCGGAGGACCTGCAAAAGCACCCCGTTGTCGCTCCACTTCGTGAGCCCGTCACTCACCATCTCCTTGCCGGGCATCCACCGGACGAAGTTCTCTGCACCCTCCTCGATCAAGGCCTCGCGGAGGACGGCCGCATCGATGAGGATCTTTCGGTCGCTGGTCATGCTCTCCGAGGCCAGGACGTCGTAGCCGGTCTTGGCGTCAATCACCAAGTAATGCTTCCATCGGCTAGCGTACCATTTCCATCGCGGCAGGCTGAAGTCAGCATGGACGATCTCGGAGAGGACGGCCCTGACAAAGTCCCCATGCTCAAAGCTCTCCGCGGCCATCGACAGCTCCGCACTCATCGAACACCTCACCACCCGTTGGATCTTCATGCTCTGCGCCTCCACAATGCCCACCGGTGCCTTCTCTTCCAGCACATTGGGGTGTGCCAGCATGCACACAACTCCTCCCTGGGAGTGCCCTTTTGGCTGAGCCGCAAAGGCCGCATCGCTGGCGGAGATCACGATGAGGTCGTTCAGGTCGCACCCCAACTTTGGCAGCTTCACCACCACCTCCTTCTGAGCCCTCTGGATGAGCTTCGCTGTCCATTCCATAGCCTCTCTCTTCCCAGTGGCCACCAGCTGCTGGCAATGAGAGACCCCATAGCTCAGATCATATCTTCCTTGGCGAGCGGCCCAATTTACTTGTCCCAGGATGGAGCCGATCTTCACCCTCTCGCGTTCTGTGAGATCACCTTTCTTTGGGTCCCACTCCTCCTTCAGGATCTCCGGGATCTTGGCGATGTAGTCGGCCATCGTGTAGTAGAACTCCAAGGTCTCGGGGTCTTGCCGTTCATAGCGTCCGCAAAACTTCTGCCATCCCTCTCGAGCACGTCGATGCTGACCAAACTTCAGCCGCTCGTGCAACTTGTCCCAAATCTCCTTGGCGCTCTCATCCCCCGCGTAGCGGGTGTCATCCACATGGATGGTCACCACGGCCCTCAAACGGCCATCTGGGTGGTGTGCCACGAACATGCCGGGGATCAACTTCAACTCATGAAGGTCGATGCTCTTGAGGGTGGCCTTGTACTCCAGGTACCATAGTCGGGGGGACTCACATAGGCCGAACCCACCCTTCAGCAATCTCAAGAGGTCTCCCCGGCACTGAGTTCCCACCTTGCCGATGATGTGCTCGGTGACCGCCTGGGGGTAGCCCGTCGGAAGCCTGACATAGACCTCCCTCTCGGCTGGCAATGGTTGTCCCTGGAGGAAGGCGGCGGAGACGTCCTCATAGTGCACCTCCCACCCCATCTGCACCGCCACAAAGTTCAAGAGGTTGTGCCCCAGAAGGCTAGCCGTCGGAGCCAACGTGGGGTACTTTCCAGCCTCTGCATCTCGGTGTCCTCCAAGGATCCAACGAGCCTTGAGCTCTGCTTCTGCCAGGACCTCGCCACCCTTGTTGGTGAGCACAAACCTCGAGCTCAATATCTTCCGGGGGTCCACAATGGCGTCCTTGGCCACACCAGTGATGGCGTCATGGTCGAAGTAGACCTGCACAGCTTTGATCAACGGCTGCTCATAGGCCTTGCGCCAGTTATCATCCAGCTGTCGCCACTGGTATTCCACTCTGAGCTTCCCGGTCACCAGCTGGGCCTCAAAGACCGCCTTGCTCTCCTCGGCTGCCAAGCTCTCACCCTTCTCGATCACCTGCATGAGCTTTGGGTCCTCCGCCTCCTCAGCCTCCCATAGCAGGGCATGGGTCTCGATCTCCGACCATAGTACGCCATAGTCCACCTTCTCGCCCTCGATGAACTCCTCCACATAGTGAGTCTCCTTTGCCGATGACTTGGAGGGCGCCTTGCCTGGGGTTGATGGTGCCGCCCTCGATGGTGTCGCCGGAGCCGCCCGCGAGGCCTCTCGTCCCTTGTCTCGCTGCTCCTTCTTCAAATCCTTCCTCACCTTCTTGAGGTGTCCATAGGCATTCTCCAATCGGTTCCTCACCTCGGCCTCTTGCATGGCTGACGGAGCTCCCAAGTCCTTGGCGAGCTGCTCGAACAACTTCTGCTTCTTGTTGAAGGGAAGTAGATGTGGCTCCACCTCCTCTGGGGGCCTGAGGGCCTCCGGCACATCATGAGTCAGCTCTCTCTTCTTTTCAACCTCTTCTCGCAAGCCCTTGCCCTTGGGCTCCTCCGCCTTCTGCTCCTCCGTGTCGGTGTCCTTCTTCTCGTCATAGTCCATCACTGGCATCCGGCCCTGGGTGATCTCGGTCTCCACGTCCTTGAGGGCCCCGACGATGAAGTCGGCACTCATCATCTCGTCCGCGGTCGCCAGCCGGATCTTCTCCAAGGGGTAGGCCTTGACCCTCGTTCGAATCCTCACCCAGACCTTCTTCGGAACCGTCCCATCCCTTTCCACACAGACGACCACGGCAGGTCCGCTCCAAGACACATTGTCCTGCAATCTTCTAGCCAAGCCTCGGCGATTTGCCGGAGGGTCGTACACGTACACCACGGCACCTTCTCTCAGCAACTCCAGCATGGGCGGCTTTGAACGTGCAGCCAAGGCGCGCCGCAGCCCCTCGTGCGAATCCAGCCAGTGACATGCCTCAATGGCGGCTGCGCGAATGCGCTCGCTCCTCCTCAAAGCCTCCTCTTGGGCCAGTTGCTCATTTGCTCGGAACTTGACCTTTCCGCTGGTGATCTGAGCCAGTAGGGATCCTGGGAGCGAGGTGTTTCGACCTGTCACCGCCTGGATCGGCGCCACTCCATTCTTGCCCACGATGCGGTTCTTGGAAGCAAAACACGAGCAAGCTGCCGTCTGCATGTCCTTGAGCGAGTCGATCCGGAGCTCCTGAATCATCTTCATCAACATGACCTTAATGATCGAGCCATGCCTCTCGGCATGCCCAAGGCGCCATTTGGCCTGATCGGGCACCACTTCATGCTGCACTGCGAAGATGTCGTTCAGGCGGGTGATGGAACCCAAGAATTCTGTTCCACCATCTGTAATCAGCAGATCTGGTGGCCCGAACACATCATACCACAGCCGACACAGAGTCTCCGCGGCCCAGTCCGAGCTGGGCTCGAAAGCCAGTGCCCCCACGTGGTAATCGGTGAGCTCGTCGATGTAGTGCACCACCGCGTAGCGGACCCCCTTGATGTCCCACACGTAGAAAACATCGCCACTGATCCTCTGGTTGAAGTTCGTGGGCTTGGTGTAGGCCACTTGAGGTTTACTCCCCGGCGGCTGCATCATGCTGCACACCTGACATCGCATGTTGCGGATGCCTTCCAGTAGATCAGAGCCGCCCCCTGCCAAGCTCACCATCCTCAGAAGCCGCTCATTGGAGAGATGCCCCAGCGCCACGTGCAAGTGTGCCAAAATGGCACGTGTCCGCCGTGGAAGAAGCCGGGCATTTCCTTCGAAAAGGACATAGTCATATCGCTCTCCTTCGGCCCCCATTTGTCTCATCTGCCGGCGGAGGATCTCCTCGGGTGTCACCACTCCCTCCTCAACCTCCACGGGATAGGCCCCCCACAGCTCCATGGGGTAACTTCCTTGTCGCGGCTGGCCATCGGTCGGCGTCTGATCTCCTTCTAACGGATCTTGTTCACGTAGTGCCTCCGCCGCCAAGCTCTTCTGGGCCGCCTGCAGGATGTAGGTGGCGAAGTCCTTGGTCCATCGAGCAGCCACCGTCGACCGGCTCACCGTAGCCCCATCCAAATGGATAGACCCTCTGATCTGTTCATGCTCTCTTGGCTGATGATTGCACCTTGGGACACCAGCCAACCCCACGGCAAAGGACTGCTTATTCACATCCAAGTCGGTCGTCTTGCGGTACAGCTTGTGCGACACCGGGTCCTTCAAGCCAAAGACGCACTGGTCCACCACCACCCGATAGACCGTGGGCCGTTGGATCATGTACTTGGTCTCGAGGGCCTCGGAACCATCTGGCTGCTCGGTGAGGCACAGTCGACCCTCACTATCCTGGATGTCCCATACCTCCCGGCCCAGCTTCCAAAATGGGAGCTGCTTCCGCCTGACCTCATCCAAGGTGTCCCAGTCCTGCCGAATTCGCTGCCAAGCGCACCACGGACCACAGGGCGGCGTGATCACCACCAGGTCCGGCTTGAGGGTCACCACCATGTTCTTCACCCTGTCCCGGTTCTCCTTCACGGCCATGTCATTCTCGGCGCCCAGGATGACATCCACCGGCTGATAGGCTCCCCAGCCCGGAAGTTCGGCTGCCACCTGGGTCAACATCGATGAACCCGAGAACAACTCCAGCACCATGAACTTAGTCTCGGTCCGGGCCCCCTTTTTCACACGCGCCATCAAATGGATCGCCTGCTGTAGTCCCTTCTTGAGCTTCTGGGTCAAACCTCTGGGAGGTCGTGTTTCCTTCCACACCATCTCTTTCTCTCGCTGAGCCTTGAAGGCGGTGCGATCTTCGGCATAGAGTGCGCCCCACTCCCCTTCCTCTTCAGAGTCCATGACCGAGTCCTTGGTCGTGATCGTGGCGTCCTCCTCGTTCGCCTCATAGTCATCCTCGTTGATGGACTCGGTGGGCTCGCCGAAGTCATAGTCCGTGCCACCTTCATCCGCCCCCCAGTCAGGTTGCTCTACATCAGGGGCCACGCCACCGGGGCGTGCATCCTTTGCCTCAATGCCCCCAGATGCCCCCACCAGAAGGCCACTTCCTTGCCGAGGAGCATCGCCAACCAACGGGGGTTTCTCTTCCAGCGAGCCCCCTGCATGGTGCTCTCCACGGCCTTCTTCACCCTCAACTGCCACAGGAGCTTCTTCCACAAGAACGTCATCATCTTGCTCCTGAAACACCACACCATGTTCATGGCTACCTCCTCGCTGTAGGCATTGGAAAGAGTGGGATAATCCGCCCTCTGACCTGTCAATGCCTTGGTCTCTTCCCTCTTGGCCTTGGACTTGGCCGCCCGGGCCCTGGCCTTGGCGATCTTGGCCATCTCCTGTGGCGTGAGCTGATCGATCTGGATCTCCTCCATCTCGTCCTGGTCGATGCGGTACTGCTCCGCCTTGGATGGTGGCGTGATGATCTGGCCGCTCCCCATGGCTCGGGCCTGTGCCTTCGGCTGCCTCTTGGGTGTTGTGCGCTCGACCGGCAGGAAGCTGCGCATAGAGGCATTGCTCATCCGCCCCATGGGATCCTCCCAACTCCGTTGGCTCTCCGCGTCCATGTCCAGGGCGCTCTGCAGGTGCTGTAGCTGTTCGCCTTCGGACTCCAGATTGGGGCAGTCCCGGCTCCGGTGAGATTGATCTCCGCATACCCGACAGAAGCCCGTCGCGGAGCGCGACATGCGAGTGAGGATCCGGAGCGTTCACGGCCGTCCCTGAGCCAAAAATCTCGCCCACAAGGACATTGTTGATCATGGCCAAACTGCAGGCCTCTTGGCCCGCCTCAAGACGAAAATCCTCCGGTACCTTCGAGTTGGGGATTCCTTCGAACTCCGCAATGTCCATGATGTAGTGTCCACTAGAGGTTTGCTTCAGTCCGTATCCCTTCACACCCAACTTCTTGGAGGCTAGTAGATGATGTTCACAGTCAAATTGTATGCCAAGCTGGGTGCATGCATGACGGGATAGGAGGGGTGGACAATCGCCCTTCACCACGGAGAACCCCAACACTACCAACTTCCCAGCGAAGGTCGCCTCGAACTGCACCCCATACTGACTAGCGAGGGTGTCCCCGCTTCCAAAACGAAAAACCTCCTTCTCCTTGAAGACCCTAAACCATCGATGTTGGTGTTGCCACCGCTTGATGATTTGGTTGATCCACACAGTCCCTGCAACCGACTTCAAACACCCAATGTCCAGAATGACGGAGGTTGCGAGTTCCTTCACGCACCACAACACTTCATGGTCAGCCGACCCACCACTCAGCCCAACCCCACACGGCAGCGTCATATATGCACACGCGGACGAAGATCTCGGTGAAGCCGCGTTGGGCGTGCACAAAGACACCAAAAGATCCCACTCGTGGTCTCCCTCCCTGTCTTCGGGTAGCGAGGCCAACTTGAGTGATGAAGTGGCGGGGCTCTTCTTGGCCCTCATAGGCTTCCTTCCCAAAGTGGGCGTAGCCATCAAAACCTGCTGTGCTTTTGGATGGGGGCACTCTCTGCTCCAATGCCCTATCTCTCCGCAGTTGTGGCATGCGGTGTTCTTGATCTTGTCGGCGAGGGCCTTCTTGCGCTCTTCAACTTGGTCTCCCTTTTTGTAGTATTGGCGGAGTTTCTTGACCTCCGCCATGCGCTGTTTCGCTTTGTAGTGGAGGGCATAGGCTTCCCGTTCCACTTCCCTGAGCTCTGGGGGGGCGTCCTCATCAACACTCTCTTCACCTGGCTCGGTGTCCATCTGCGTGGTCTCCTCCTCGCCGAACTCACTCATGACCTCCGCCGCCAAGGCCTGACGAGCGCCTCCTCGACGTGTGGCATGTAGTCCACCTGTCGCCCCCCTTTGCACCAACCACTCATCGCCATTCGCCCCAGCAGAGTTTGGCTCGGATGCTCCGATGGGATATCCGTGTTCTCCTTCTAGTTCTGCAGCCAATTCCACAAGGGCGTTGGTGATCGAATCTTCGGTCTCATCACCAGCCCGGGCCCTGACCAAGACCTTGTCCCTTCGACTCAGACGGGCGTGATCCAACAAATGGCCAACGTAGAACCTCTCGCCCATCTCCAAGGTCGAGTCGAGGCCCAACAGCTGCGTGCGGTAAATGCTGCCGCGTGTGATGTAACTTTCTAAGGACTCTCCCGCGAACCTGGTCAAGGCCATCAACTTCTTTCTCTGTTGGTCAATGCGGTGCTTGTCCAACTGCTTAACCAGGGGGCTGCGCTCAAGGACCTCGAAGATCTTCTGCATGCCCCCAGGGCGGTTCACGTCCCCATTGTTCAGGTGCTTCACCAATTGTGCGGCTCTGTCCCTCAGCTGCACCATTATTCGCGGGCCGATGTATTCCTCTGGAATCTGATGGCCTTCTCCTCCCAGCCAGAACTCCAAGGCTCGCCGCCAATCTCTATAGCTCTCACCCGCCTTAGCTCTGAAGATCGGCGGGTAGGAGCTGCTGACCTTCCCCTTGGCCGGATTGGCCTTCCCTTCATCTCCTGGCCCCTTCGGCGGAGGAGCATCCCCCACCGATGAGACCTCGCCGGAAGGCAGGTTGCCTTGGCGATCAAAGCCGGCCGCTGCCGGAGAGCCCGGGGACGCGGCCGAAGTCCACTGCCAGTGCCCATGCTCTTGTCCCTGATCGTCAGGTGTGCTCGGTGCTCCCGAACGATGCCCTTGTCCCTGATCATGGCGTGCACGATCACCCCAGGCCCAGTTCTCTCGTCCCGAGTCCACGCTAATGACCTCCGAGCTTGGGGCACCCCATGAACGCTGCTCATCCCATGACCAGTTTTCAGCCCGTCCTCGGTCTCGCCATCCCTGCCTCCATGATGTCCAGGACGTCGATGTCCATGATGAGTCATCACCCGGTTGATACCAACCGTCGCTGCCACCCAACCCACTCACATCCAGTGGATTCCCCCATTCCGAATCACCTTCGGATGCATTGGGCTCAACTTGGACCTCAAAGACCTCGTAGTACGAGGTCATCCAAAAACCCCCAGCCGTAGGGCTCGAGCACCACCGCCCCAAAACCACCGTAGCCAGCTCCCTGCGCCGCCGCCCACAGCGCCTATGGCCCTGGATCGAAACCTGCTCCGCTGCCACTTAAACGTGGCAGCGCAAAACCCTTTTCATCCGCTCGAGCCCTGCAGCTTCGATCGAGGGACCGTCGGCGGGGCGGCTCGGTTCCACAGTTATGCTTTTCACCATGGGTTGGAGGCCATCGCTACTAGGTTGGAGGCAATTGCTATTAGGATCTATTAGGTAGGTTATGCACCGCAAGGATACGCACGGCGAGCACCTGGAGATGGAGCTCATTTGCCTTTTCCGCATTTCTATGATCACAAACATTTGTTGCGGTACATTGATACAACCTAAGGCATGTCATTGGCATTTCCATCATGCCTGGCACCCACCTTGACAAAAGGGGACCGGATGGGACCGGTAGGGCAGACGCTCTCAGGGCAGACGCTCCAAAGTGCAATGTGTCTGTGTCTTCAGATATCCAGCATTCCTGATCTCACAAGAAAGGGCACAACATGCACAACAGATTACGAATCGAATGAACATATACTCGGGTCAAACTGCTTGAAACATCGAATCCAGCATGGCCCCCAGGCCCCCCCAGGCCCCTCCAGGCTCCTGGCTTTCCACTGTCGGACATTCGATAGATATGGACCTCGCGCACTTGGCCACGGTCTGCTGGAGTTTGAGCTTCGGCAGTCTGCTGAAGAACTTGCTCCGTTCGTAGCGATGCCCTTTGCTCTTAGTAGCTTCGTGTTCCTAGTAGGAAGGCCAGGAGCCCCTAGTAGCGTCCTTGTTCCTAGTAGTGGCTTAGAATATCTCCAACATCTTGCAACATCGGTGTGTATTCATTTGCCGTAGTCGGGCGAAAAGGACGTTTGAAAGGTACTATGGTTCGAGGATATGATTCAGGGAACTATAGAGAACGCTAAACAAATGCAAACCCACATGGAGCAAACTTCATCTGTTTCGCATTCCCTGTTGCACCTGATCGAGAATGGAAGCCAAGCCATCTGGAAAGCAAGAGACCAAGACACTTCTTGGATCAAACCCTCAACCCTCCAACACCCCCAGAGTTAGGGCTCTTAACGCCAACCCCGGTGTCCCAAATCTGCTGTGCTCCCCGACAGTGTGGGCATTGGCCACAGCCAAGCGCCGTGTGCCCATGGCCCACAGCGGTGACTGAGAGTGCACGTGCGATTTGAAGCCAACTGGGGAAGCACGTGTTCGGTGAATCTTACTGAGAATACCCGGTGTCGGATGTTTCAGGCAATGCAGCTTTCATTGCATCAACATGCATCAACCCGAAGTTGGGAAAGTAGGACACTTGAGGAAACTTTGGCCCAATCTTTTTCGGGTACTGTACGGTACAGTACTGTGTAGTACCCAAAACATCCAAAAACAAATCGTCCTTGCAGCCGTCCGAGGCAAAATGCAACGGATAAAACAGGCACTGGAAGGATACTTTGTTGGTGATGGGGACTATTAGATGATGCGCTCTGGACAAAACATGCTTATGTTTATGTTGGTCTTATGCTGCTACGACCCCTTCACCACCTGGGACCACTAAAAATGCATATTCTATGGTTTTTCTTATTTTTTTCTCTATCTCAGGAGGTGCACGCACGATGGTGGTGCACATTCTGATAGCTCCATCCGGTTGGTCGATCCACCGGGTGGAGAGAGATCTCGTGCTGTGCGCCTTCGTGGTGCAGCTTGATGTCCCACCCCTCGCGGCCGTCTGCCGAGACGCGAAAGCGACCAACGAGGGCGACTCCAGGGGGAGCTCCACCTGAAGCGGCCGTTGCACCGACGAAAGCGGAGCTTTGCGGCGGAGATGCTTTGCGGGGGGAAGGTCAAATGCACCTGGGGTTGAAGAGTGGAAGAGGCTCATACCCAAAAAGTTCGTCTAGTTTGAACATGCTATGCAAAAAGTAGCATGTTCTCCCCAAAAAACATGCAAAGGTTCAACGACAAAACACTTGTGAGGCGCTACTCCGCTACTTTTGGGACGACTTCTGAGAGCATAAAGCCCGACTTGGAAAAAGCCAAAGCGACGTGTTATATGGCAAGTAACAAACACACATGTGTTTACAGATTACACATGTTTACACATGTTTGCACACCTACACTTCATCTTGAACCGGGGTCACCTTCACATCCTTCACCCAGTCACTTGACCTTTGCAAAAAGGACAACGACACTCGGGTAACTGGAAGGCGATTCGAACGTATGAGAAGTTGGTTCTGTAGCACCTCCAAGGTTGAAGTGACAAGTGTTTCTTGACGGCCTCTCCCTCCTCCCTCCCAGTCTTTTCACATATGAACAAATCTGCTATCTCCATGCTGGTGAACACTGCGCTGAGACCAGTTTGACTGGAAAGGGAATGGTCATCCATGGGGGTGTAACTAGTGCATAGAGTTTAAAGACTCCTTTGGCGCAGACTAGGCTGAATGAACCCTTGTGCAGCATCCACCATCCTTGGCCTGGCCTTTCCATTCTACACTGAATCAGGCACGGCATGAAGCTTGTGCGCCAGGTCTTGACCCCTCCATGAACAATCATCGCTCATGAAGAGTTGCAGTCCACCTCACTGCAGTTGAAATGTGGACTTTGTGCAAAGGCTTTGCCGAATCCATCCTGGAGCAAAGGCGGGGCCCCTGGGGTTGGCTCTTGACCCAAAAGGGTTGCGTTGACAGTGCCACCACTTGGGACCTCGGGTTACGGTGATATTGGAAGTTTGAATTCCGCAAAGCTTGACTGAGCATGACCCGCGGACCCGCGGAGCAGGTTCCCATTTTCACTCGTCCGAGGAACTTTGTCCGCGAGTGGTTACACACCTCCTTCTTGAAAGCGAAGAAAGGGGCGACTATTTGGCATCTTTTGTTGTTTCCAAAGGATTTTGGCGAACCAATATGTGGCATTGCTCACCCAAATTGGTCTGCTGGGTTTCCACCGAATCTTGGGTCCACCAAGTTTCCTGATTCTTTTTGCTCGTACTAATTAGTTTGAAGCTTGTGTTGGCCACGCAGCATGGCTGAACGCCCTGAGGTGCAACCACAAAACATTGAGGGACATCGAAGGGGGATACCCAGGTGAATACTCAATCTATTGAAGCTACTCCCCGTGAAAAGTCCCAGGCGAATGTCATTGCCCAGTGCCTTTGAAGGCGCATCACCCAGTGCGTCACAGCCTCCGAAGACCGGGTCTCCTTGTCGCGGATGCTGCAGCACATGTTCCGGCTGATCGGCGCGCCCATCCTCGGTCCACTGTGGGATCTCTGAAAATGAAAAAGCTGCTGTGCCTTTGCCTGTAGGAGGCTAGCTCAATGACACGGAGATGAAAGAGTAGTGTTCTAGGATACTCTATATAGGGTCCCAAAAATCCAAAACAACAGCAACATAATTTCAATGAACTTCATCTGTTTTCTTGGACCATCTTTGATTGCAGGAGCCACTTGAAGCAATTCGTGCTCTTTCGCTTGGAAGGACGCAGTTGATCACAGTTGGCCATATACTATGACTATATTGGAGCTCAAGATATGAACCCAACGGTGCTGCAGGTAGCATGTCTTGCTCTTTCCCTTTTTGAGTTCCTACAAGAGTTTTGGGGATTTGGGGACCACTTGCTGATGCTTTTAACAAACTGCACCACTCATGTTGGTGCATTGAACCTCCAACTTAATCTCTCTTGTGGCTACTCGTGATCAGCATATCTGCTTCTCTTGAGAACCCAACCTTTTTCAGAGCGCGGACACTGCGCCAGCGTGACGCTTCAAGTGGATTCAAGTGGCCAAAGTGTGACAGTTCAAGCGGCTTTATGGACACTCGGATGTGTTGGACACTAATTATACTAGCTCCACGCACCAATTTGGTACCTCGAAAGGTTCGAAAAACCATCTAGGCATCGGGGTAGTACGAATAGAACAGCCACCGTTTGACTTGTTGTACATTTCAGCAGCAATGCAGCACATGTATCTGTTTCCGCTGCTTCCAGGGGTAGACAGTAAACACAAAAATGGTGATTCGATGAGACTAGCATATCTACTCGAGTCATCACATGTTCTTCGAGCGAGCTTGCTTGGCCACATTTCGCGGCACAATGACTTGTGGAGCCAAATCTGACCAGCGGCAGGACACCATTTGCCGCCAAGGCAAAGGATTGCAAAGGGATCTGTTGTCAGCGCGCCGTTTGTTCCGAACTTCCATCAAGCAAACTCCTTGACCCGACTGGTGGCTGCTCCCATTGATTTTATCATGCCTCGAACGACCTTCCATCCGAAGTCTCTCAAACCATGTACACGGGAACTTGTGTCCCCTTGTTTTCGTCATGCTGGATTTTATTTCGGTCAAGCAACTAGATGGAAGTAGTAGTGCAAAAAGAGGCAAACCTTCAAATCCAAAATGACTATTGGCAAACCCAGGACTTCTCCCAGGGATTCAGGCGCCGCACGATCCGCACGCACCGTTTCGGGAGCAATGCGTACGATGCAACAAGTTCAATGGCCTCCACCCTAGCGATGGCCTCCAACCTAATAGCAAACATAGTATATAACATTAACATGTAGTAAACAAATAGGTTGGAGATGACCCTTTAAAGTTTCGTCCTAGATGCCCACAATAGAAACACCAGCTGATGGGTTATCCGGCATAAAGAAAGGCTCCAAGGGAGGACTTTGTGTTGCTACTTCACTCGCTGTCCACATCATCTGAGGAGTCCTGGCAACAGAGCCATGATGCGAACTCCAAGCTTTCATCTTATATACATATATAATATTGTGCTTCCACCATGCCTTTGTCAAAGCATCCAAACCTGTCTCAATACACACAATTTTTTGGGATATATTGACGCAAAGTATGGCCATGTACAGGGACTAAGGGGATGCTTCATCAAACAGTAGCACGAATTTATCCCGGGGCACCCATGTCAGATTTCTCCACAAAAAGACATTACTCCGCCTGCCGTGCTGCTTGCTGAGCAGGGAAGACGATCTGTGGCCCATCTCCGGCCAAAAATCCTGCAGTTCTAGGACTCCCAACACATTCTGCAGGTGCATGCAAGACCCGAGGGATTCGGGCAAAAACCTCTCGCAACAACTATGATTCTATGATACTATGAGACAAAACCTCACACCACAATCTTGAGCTGAGTGATGAAGATTTGACGCACTTGTGAAGCTACTGGTGAGCACTCCTCTTTTTTCCGAAAGAGAGCTGTCAGGTGATCTGGAAGAGCGTGGATGCTTGGATTGTGGTTGAACAGTTGGCTGATCCCTACCACTTGGTTAGGGCAGGACCCTGTAAAATTTCCCTCAAAGGGGTGGGGATGCTGGCAGAATATTCCGCGTGCTCTCTGGGTCGGCGGACCATTGGCGCTCAAACCCTCTGCGATGTGCTGCCAGTAGTCACCTCAAGGTCTTGAGCAATGACGTTTCACACTTCAAAACACAAGGGCCTCAAATGTACGAAGAAACGTTGAGTATGGCGGAAACCGGGCCACCGGGTTGGGATTCCGGTCGACCGGGATTCGGGCAGTCCACCGTCATTCCGGTTAGCCGGTCGACCGGCCAGCCGGGAAATCGGGCCCCGCAACATCCCGCAACAGTCTATGCCCTACCAGGGTCTATGTCCTGACTGGTCTCTCATTATTGCATCATATGCATCAGCTGGTTGCAATTGTATAGCTTAACTGTACATAATCTCTCTATCTTTCAAGCCCCTTCAAATTGTAGATTTTCAGGGGAACCATTCTATACCCACAAATGGAAACAATTTGGAACACCTGAAAAAATGTACGGCTTCAAAGGGGTCGAAAAATAGAGTAGTGATTATATACAAAAGCCGTACACTATTGTACAGTTTCAAATGGGTCGAATAATAGAGTGATTAGCGTGATTACAAGAAACATCAAGAAACTATATTTAGACTCCAAGAGCCAATGGTGCGGGCGGTTGTCGTCGTGAAGCGACCCAAATTTAGTTCAACACCACCACAAACAACATCAATAATACAATATGAATATAAAATGTGCTGAAACTGCTTCGCCCATGGCCGTTTCAACAATAATTTTCCGCAAAGCCGAGCCGAAGCGAAGACAAGCCGATACCGCACAATACCGAGCCGATACCCAACCGAAGCATTCACGTAGGAGCCATACCGCAGCCGAACCAAGCCCCCGAATGTGGAAAAACACTTTTCGGGGCCTGAAAAGTGTTTTCCCACATGTGCCTTTCCTGTGGAATTTGGGCGCTGGCTTCTGTGAAGCCTCTGGGATCTTTGAGTGGACGAACGGCTCGGTCATGAATGGTAAACAATCACTTCTGTGAACTCCTACAATGAATGCGGAAAAAATCTTTTCGGGGCCTGACAAGTTTTTTCCACAAGTGCCTTGCTTGTGGGATAAGGAGCCAAAGGAAAAACATCCGAATTGATGGTCATGGCCCTGGCCCTTGCCACAGGTCTGTGGTCACAAGAGCAATCGCATAGCCAGGGTCTCAACCGGCTAGCTTGTGCCCGAAACTACGATTCAAACAAAGAAATTGCATTACAGAAAACACTTCCAAGGTCCGAACAGTTTTTTTCTAAATAATATGTGTCTCCGCCACCGTTGAAAAACCGAAAACATGTTCAATACATCATACGAACCGAACCGAAACCGAACCGATCCCAATACATGTCAGCAATAAATATCGAAAACATATCGCAACATGCGCGAACCGAACCGAACCGAACCTAAACAGCCATGTTCGCCGTATTTTTCTATTTTAATCAGCACAGGTTGATTTTTTTGACGACAACCCTTGTTATTGATTTCCCCCACCCATGCAGCAGAGTGCGGTCGTGTGAAAGCAAACAAAAGACATACTCACGTTCACCGTCACCTTCGTCTTCCTCTTCATCTTCTTCATTGTCTCCTTCTTCTTCTTCTTCTTTTCTTCTTCTATCAGCGGCATGCCGCATAGTCACACGCATGCTTCCCACCCCGTCAGCCCGGTTCGGTGAGGCAGCTTGGCCGGTCACCCGGGCCGGGCCCGGTCAGCCTGGTTGGCTGGTCAGGCGGGCCCGGCCAGGGTTGCCCACCAGCCTTTACTGTTCTTTGACTTTGTGATTCATGTGCTTTTCCTTTTCCTTTTCTATGGCCTGGAAAACCAGAACCTGGTCAACCGGAACCATCCGGAATCACGGTCATGGTCAGAACCTATCCACCGCCGCCCTTCTGCAAATGTTTCTCTTGGACACATTGAAGAATTGAAGACCTACAGTAGGTGATCACAGGTTTTGGATGGCTTTGGTTTGTTCTGCGGCTTTGTGGCTACTGGCTTTGCTCCCATAGGCTTGCAAAAAGCCATCCCAGTTGAAATCCAGCAAATGAACTTTGACAATGGCAGCGTGTTCGACTTTGCACATGCGAGACCTGAATAGAAAACACAGTGAAGGTTTGCCAGTGGTCTCCAAGTCAAACGACCCCGTGAACAAGGGCATTCAAGTGCAGAATATTGCCGAGCTTTGGACCAATTGAAATGTTGATGTGGTGGGCACAGCGAATGGGCAAATAGGTACAGCGCATCCACATGTACGGCCTTGGCCCAGCATGTCGCAAGTGCTTGAGAACGATGATCAATTGTAGAAGCAAGAAGGCTACTAGTAACAAGGGCATTGCTACTAGTAGCTAAAAGGCTACTGGTAGTAATGCCCTTGTTACTAGTAGCGATGCCCTTATTACTACTTTCATTGTAGATTTCACCATATTGATTCTAGATTCTGCTTGGGCACGTGGATCTTCGGATCATCTACTGATCATCTACTAATCTATTAGCCGGGTTTAGACCAAGCCCAACTCAGCAGCTTTCCACATCCGGGCGCCGGGCACGTAGAAAATCCATCCCACCACACTAAGGGCCAACAAGACCTGCGACCAGGCTCAAAGCACTCGACGTCAGGCGAACTGATACCTTTACTTGCAGGTGTTTTTGGACCCCTTCAATGTGGACCCCATCAGCAAGGACTGGGACAAATTGAAGAAACGCCGGTGATATTGGTTTCCCCAAAGGCACAAGATCTGACTCCCGCTCATTTGGAAGGTAAACAGTCAGGCATGTTATATATCTATATAATTATATATTCATGATTTCCAGTGCCACCTCAGCGCTTAGGTGAGCCTCTTAGACTCTTAAAGTCCCTTCGTTCTGCTAATCAATCCCAGGTTCTGATTGCTGACCGATGAACCTCCTTCCAAACCAGAAACACCACCTCCTCCAGC